ACAGCATGGACCGTTTGTGAGGACAAGCTTTCACTATCTTGGGAGCTTCTTGATAGCAAGAGAGTGACGGAATCCCCCTGCAAGGTGCAGGCAACAGAATGCCCCGGCCTTGCTAGGATCCGCAACACTAAGCAGAGGTCCTTGCTCTCCCCAACACCTTTGCTACTGAACAGAGGCAGGCACCAAGCCAGCTTCATCTCATTTACACATCTGCCCCTCTGGACAGACTCTCTCAGTAGTTGCTCCTGTAGCACTTTGCCCTCGAGCTGGTATTGAGGAACTAACCATCAGCATGGGAACAAAAACCTGAAGGCAGCTCTGAATTTCAGTGTCTCCTGCATGATATGCTACTGGCCCTGCAATGGCTCAGCAAGGTCAGCAAAGGAAGGACTCACTCTTCATTGGGACTTCATGCGAGTTTGCTCCCTTGTGTCAGCTTCCTTGTTGTGTAATCAGAGCTTCTCGTGCAGGAAGGAAGCAGCTTTAAAAAGTATCCGCCCAATACTGCCTGCAGAACCCCTGTTCCCCGTCAAGGGAAAGTGCACAAACCTCGAGCTACAGTCGCACACAATTCCAGGAGATGGCTTTGAGGTCAGGGAGCTCTTCGCTGACTTGCTGTCCCAGCTGGCCTCACGTCCAACGAGCAGGGCCTGAGATGTTCTGCGTCCTCGACACCTTCTATGAGATGAGAGGAGCTCCACAGCTGTGCCAGGCACAGCACCACGAACAGGGAAGAAGGGTTCAGGGCAGGGTTTGCTGTAAAGAGTTTGATGTTGTAGCACTACACAGATTTCATTGCTACAGCCGGATCTGAGGATACACAAAAACTGGCTGATTCAAAACAACTATATGGAAGTTAAAATGCTTAAATTTACAGTGATTTGCCATCTAATCCCATTAAAAAAATGGGAACACCATCCAAATGAAGAAATGATGTAGCAGAGAGAGAAAGCCCTGATGCTCTGATCCATTTTTCATGTGTTGATACTTGAAGACAGAGGGGGGGCAGGGGACACCAGTTAGCCTGTAGTGACTGTAACAAAAGAAAGTCAAAATCAAAGTATCTTAATAGTAATAACGGAAATTTCAAACTGGGCAAAAGTTGAACTCTGCTGCTTTTAAGCAGAAGACTAAAAACAAGTCGTCTCCCTACACACAATTATGTCCACAACAAAACAACCGCACAGGACCAATTCAAGGCTGTATACGTTTATTTATCGTCAGTAATTTTTTAATTTTTTTTTTTTAAACACAAGGCAAATATTAATAGCTGTAAGGCAACATTTTGGCAGAGTATGTACAGAGCAATGTACAACTGAATGCAAGAAGGCTTTAAACCATTAGTAATTTAACCATTTTATAAAAGGAAGTGATACTTTTTTCCTTTACGACCTCCTTCAGAAATAATTTATTGCTAATCCTGAACTAAAGCAAGGAGAGGTAAATTTACAATATAGAGGCTCTTAGGCCCTGGAAAGTTATAAAAGTTAAACATATAAAAATTATAAGCCACAAACATTTATACAAAGCTAAAATAAATCTTGGTTTTGTTAGATAAAGGATCTATGAGGTTGTTACAAAATATATTTTTACAGAAGGCTTCACATAAGGTAAGCTCTCACTGCTACTGAAAGGGCAGGAAAGCAATTTTAAATAGTTTGCAATTCAATTTTGTTTTCAAGTAAAAGGAAAAGAAATTACAAATGGCACTATTGCAATACGGTGATTTTTTTTTTTTTAAAGTCCTGGTACCATCAAATAAAGAAAGCCCTGTGAAGTTAGGTTGTGAACAAATTTAGCGTGGCATCAAATATCCTGATCGTTCTGAAACCAGAAACGTGCTGTTGGAAAGTGTATTTCTATAATGACCCCTCTAAAGAGAAATGTCTAAGGAATTCTTAACTGGGCAACCACCTGGCGAGATATATGGGTGTCCAACCATCAGTTTTTGCAATAACTTAGAAAACTTGGGCTGCATCCTGCCATAGAGCTGTGTTTAGATATATCGAATTGTTACTACACAAATGAATGGCAGGATAGAGAAGTCCCATTAGTTTCAGAGCTTTTGGTGAAGTTATCTGGGAGCTCACTATACTCTGTATTGCAAAACTCTAAAGAGCCCGAAATATTTTAGCAATTTGGTTGAAGAATCCTGATTAGATTTAAAAATAATTTACCTATTAGCCAAAGGCCTAAGCCTACTAGCTGACACCTGCAGAAGAGATGAGAGGAAGGCTCATCTGTAAGAGCTGGGGTTTTCAGTGAATGTTGTTAGTGATGGCTTTGGCTCCCATATACTCCAGATGGAAAAGGTGGATTGTTTCCAGCACTGGTGAATAGCCACAGTCTTCAAACAATTAGATTTTTTTTTAAAATGCAGCAGGAAGCAAATGCTAAAATGCCACATTCACCTTCAAGTACAGGAGGACTGTACAAGCTAGTGGTATTTCTCACTCACATCTCAGTGTGGTCAATGATCGTTCAGTGCAGCAGAAACTAGCCAATGATCTTTGGAAGTTAGCCCTAGTAAAAAGTAAACTTGAAGAAGCCTCAGGAGTTTTCCTGTATCCCCACTTTTTAGAATATACATGTCCTGACCTCGTACCATAACTTACTGGCTTACGTTAACAGTCTTCACTTTCACTACTTGATATAGAGCAATCCATCTACTTTTACTTCAGCACGTGCATGGACAGCCTGTTCAACAAAGTTAAAATACTAGATTTTGCACCAAAATTATATTCTGCCACAAAGCAACATTTAGTAGCAAGTCTCAAAAGAAATAAACACAGCACAAGATATGCTGCTTCTCAGCTAGTTGGCAAGTACAAAGGAGATGGAAAAAAAAGTGTTGATTCAATTTGTTTTAAGGCAACGTCTAACATCGGAATTGCATAAACAGTGCTTCAAGATTAATTTTCGAAAAACAAAAGTAGAGGGAAAAATGCCAAGTGCCAAAACTTCATATAATTCTGTTTGAACATAGTTACTTTAGCCTAAGACCCCTTAGTGCTTACAGTGCGAGTCCTACTCTGTAGAAAACAAGAGAGTTGGGGTCTCTAATTTAAGACAAATCTGCTGGAGTGATGTAGCCATGGTGGTCCAGGAAACGGATGAGAGGCAAGAGAAGGGCACTTTGTGCCTGAAAGCTTTTCCAACATCTCTCCCAAGTATAGAGCAGGTTCAATAAAGGCCATCCCAAAAACTAAAACATAAAAACACCTTGCTGCTTGCCATAAAACAGTCCAATACTCAGAGAGCTGGGCCAGGAGGTCTGTTGAGCAGGCATTAAGCTGGGCATCTCAAATTAAAAAAACAAAACACTAAACACTTCTGAAAATTTAGGGACTTCCCTTAGTGTGAAATAGAAAACTAAAATGATCAGTGATTGCCGATGCTCCATGCTTCTCTTCAGCAACCCCAAGGCACAAGATTGAAGATGCATCACTTGCCGAATTTCCTAACCTGTCTGAACTAAGGTTGTAACAAGCGCCTGCAGCCTCCAACAAGCAGTTGGAACTTTTTATTATTTAATAATAAAAGATTTTTTGGAAAGAGCAGGCATGACACTTGCCAAAAAATATTAGCTAACAACATATTTGCACAAGTCCCACATTTTGGAAAACATTCTGAAAAGGCTTATTAACTGAGATTACCAGGGCTTCTTGATAATGTAAAGACCAAGGATTTAATTCAGAGCTTTATATTCTACTGTAGTCATCTGGGAATTGTAGGTCCTCAAAACTTCAGAGACAGGGCCCTGTTCCTGTATTAGCATCAGTGTTGGTAACTTCCAACACAGACAGGTCCTGTGATGTGATATGTCTTTCCAGTTTAAGTGAATTTGGGCTGACAACTATTTTGGCATGAGACCCAACAACCATCATGATCATCTGTTCCAGTGGGGCATGGGGAGGGCTACCCTTTGGGCCGGCCACAATTAGCCCTACACCCTCCCCAAGTGCCACTCTAATCCTTTTTCCCTTGCCTGCTGCTTTCTGCTTCCTGCCCTATGCTCCCTGCCTGCTCTGCTTTCTGCTCCATACCCCCACCTGCTTATCTTCTCACCTCCTGCTATGTGCCACCCATAGAGACTGCCTGTGCCACTTGTGGCATGCGTGCTGCAGGTTGGCCACCTCTGATCTAGCCTAATCTGTGTAACAAAGGCCACAGGGACCTTCTTTGAATAATTCTTTGGATGCCCCCCTCATGGCTAAAAATTCACGTGCAAGTTTGTTTAACTTCAGTGTCCTATCATTGGGCCTTACAGTACTAAAGTCCATAATTCAGACTTCATTGCCCCTGCAGATACTTACTGCATCATCAAGCAAGCCCTCCTTAACCCTTTGGGAATGAAAGACAAAACTCCTGTGTCCTCAGTAACAAATGTCACCTACATCATGCTGAATCAAATGGGAGGGAAAGAAAAATTACAAGATAAATTTAGTGCAGTAATATTTCCGTACAAACAGTTGAGCCAAAAGGATATCCTGGGTTTTGAGTATCAAATATCCAAAACGTTATACAACAAATCAATCTAGAAACTATCGTGAAGCATTTTAATATGGGTCACCTTGACTGACATGCTTGGCTATGGAAGGGGCTGGAGAAAACTGGTAAAATACAGAAAAACTAGTCTTCTCATAGAAGGAGATGGAGAGGCCGTGTGTATGCTCATGGATCGAAAAAATAAGCAACTAAAGAAACTGAGTGCTGGCATCAAGACAGCTGCTCCACTGGTGGCTGCAAGGACTTACTCATATAACCCACCAGGCTCAACCCTCTACCACGCCCGCCCGAGCCTAAAAATAAAAGTGATGGCTCCTCTAGGAGGGCCATCAAGGAGGGGATTGTTGGCAAATGTATGGCATAGTCCCAACAGTTTGGGGCCCTTTAATTCTGTAGCCAACGTGGAAAAAAAAAAAAGATGTTGAATGGATAACCTATGTGACCTAAGAAAGCTATTCTTGGTCAAGCCATTTTCAAGACTTCAGTGCCACCACCTACGTTCTAAATATTAAGTTTAAGTAACAACAGGGATCTTAATAATTTTCTGGATTCCCCCCCTCACTGATAGAAGATCACATACAAGTTGGTTTAGCTTCAGTGTCCTAATCAATGGATTTTGCTGTACTGAAGAGTCCACAGTTGACACTTCGGTGCCCTTGTAGGTACTTACAGCGGGGGTAGGCAACGTTTTTTGCCAGTGTGACAAACCACCTGCAACCTCAACTTGTAAGATGCTGGTGTGCCAGGGGTGGACGGTGTGGGAACCGCGAGGGGGTCCGATTGTTGTTGTGGCAGCACAGACCTTCCCTGCTTTCCGCCCAGAGACACACGTGCCAAGCAAAATGCCTTTGCATGCCCCACACTGGCACCCTTGCCGGGGTTAGACCATCATCAAGCAAAACTCCTTAACCCTTTACTTAGAGAATGAAAAATAGAGAACTCCTGGTGTCTCGTATCAAGATGTAGTTTTCCAACCTTTGAATCACTCTCATGGCTCTTCTCTGAACCCTCTCCATGTTTATCAATGTCCTTTATGAGTTGTTGATACCCAACCTGGATCCAACACTCCATGAGCAGCCACGTCAGGACCCAATACAGGCAAAACCATCTCCCAACTTCAGGTTCCTCTATCCGCATATCCAAGGATCACCATTAGCCCTTTTGTCCACCCAAGGAGTAAACATTCAGCAGCTTATCCACCAGATCGTCCCATGCCCTCTTCAGATTCACTGCTTTCTAGAAAAAGTGCTCTGTCTACGTCTGGAGCACATTCTTGGTTCTTATATTTATGACTTTTCTTTTGAACACGTTAAAATTCCACGATTGATTTCAAAGCACTGCTACCTGAGCACCAATCCCATTTTGCTGAAGGGACCAAGGTACCCGGGCGTTTTTATGACTTCTCACAGGAAGTCAAAGGCAGTGTTGAGAACAGAGTCCACATTTCCCGACTCCTAACAACATCACACAATCATGTGGACAGTTTTAAGGGATCAGACCAGTATGCCAAACCACTTGCCACACACGAAGCACAGCAGGGCTGAAACCCATCTTAAAAAAGTGCTTTGGCCACTCTTTCCCTCCACAAGAATTAGTCAATTCTATAAGGCAAGTAAGCAAACAAAAGACTGGTTAAAATAAAAGCACTGTGACTGGAGTAAGTGCAGTGGTGGTACCGAGGGTTTTTTTTTCTTTTTAAAAGTACAAATTAGCCACGTTTAATTCTATTTGATAACAAACCCTGGCAGGCAGAGCTTCAGCTGAAAGCACCTGCCCCACAGCCACAATAAAGGCCTGTGAAAGGATATGAAACGGGACTTTTGGCAGAATATAACTGGTGACAAATGGCATCTTACAGCACTGTGTATTAAGTTTGGCTCAAGCGCACACAGGATTGGTAGACACGACCGACAGATTTCTCGGATGTTTTCACGCACGAGCATTTACTACTGAGACACGTTATGCTTATTCTTCTGTGCAGACATTCATCACAGTGGTGTTTGGGTTACTTACCCTTACCTACACACGGCCACTGTCTGGGGCATGTATTCATATAAGGCCACTGAAAATACTGCAAGAGGACAGAATAGGGGAGGCACTTAAATTTGAAAATAGTTCCATGCATCTGACTACTGATGTAGCGCAAGGCAGGCTCTGCGAGATCAAAGGGGAAAGGTACAAAACCCAAATGTACAAAAGCACACTTCAAATTGACAAACACTGGGGCTAGGTACTTAGGTGTAACATCTGGCAATGCAAAAATGAATACCAATTTTTAGCTTGTTTCCACTTCCCACCTGCAAGACATTCAGAAGAACCGAGTCATAGTGCTTTGTGCTTTGTTATGGCTCTAAAAAAAAAAAAAAAAAAAAAAATACTTAAATGATGCAACAGCATGAAATTTAGGGAGAACTCTGCAACTTACAATCACATTAGACATTTTGGGCCGAAAGCGTTAATGTAGACAAGAGTTCCCAGCTTCTTCCTGAAAAGCAAACCTAATCATAAAAATCCATTCAAAGCTGTACACAAACTAGGGAGAGCATTATGCTATACATCCAAGCTTCAGAAAGACTCCAGCAAGAGATTTATGGAATTTCTAAATAAAAGACCTGAGAAATCAAAGTCAGCTATGGTATCACAGTCTCATCATTGTTTTAAGGAAGAAGAAAAGTTTTTTTAAATTACTGCCTTGAGTCTAATATATTCCCAATGAATGCACGCTGAAGGCTGGACGTGGAATTAGCGGCGGAATGAATTCTCTAGCTCTATTCTTTGCAACATGCAAGTGTTTGGAGATCAAATTTAGTCACTTTACAGGCAACCTGGGTCTGCTATAAAATTACAATTTGAGCCAACTTGAAGCTACAGTGGAAAAAGATTAAAGCCTGGATTTCAGCAGAAATTAGCAACCATGTGTTCAGCTGTATGCCACACATCAAGAAGTCCGACAGGACCTGGATTTTTTCTGCTCCTGTTGTAAACTTCTATTTGAAAACACACAAAAAAAATCATCAAAATAAAAACGTCTTTCTGCACCTCACTGTAGCATAAGCTGCTTGAGGTTGTCATGGAGGATGGTATCCTTGACGTCACGGAAAACCAGCCGGATGTTTTCTGTGTTAATAGCAGTGGTGAAATGGTGGTATAGGGGTTTCTGCTGTTGGTCCCGGCGTTTGGTACGAAAACAATCCACCAGGAATTTTTGGACGTCTGTTAAGCAGTGGGGATCCCCTTCGAATTCTGGGAAATAGTCCTTGATGCTGACTTTTTGTACTTTCTCCTCAAGCAAGTCTGTCTTATTTAGGAAGAGGATGATGGAGACGTTGCTGAAAACCCGGTTGTTGACTATCGTTTCAAAAATGTTCAGAGATTCAGTAAGGCGATTTGTTAGCCGATCCTCCATGAGCACTTGGTCGAATTCGCTGGAAGAGACGAGGAAGAGTATCGATGTGACACTGTCGAAGCACTCAAACCAACGCTTCCGCTCAGACCTCTGGCCACCTACATCCACCATCTTGAAGGGAACATTTTTAATTTCAAAGTCATACTCATGAATCCCTTTAGTGGGTCTTCTTGCCAGCAGAATATCTTGCTGTGATGGAAGATAATCCTAAAATAAAATAAAATAAAATAAAAAAATAAAGCAAAGTTCACTGGTTAGGCTACACTTGCAGGTACAGCAGCTTCTGCAGACTTCTGATATAAAAGACTTCAAAATTCTCTCCTTCCTTCACAGCCTTCATTAATTATTACTGCTTTTTAAAGTAACGTCTTATGTTCCAAAGTGGAAAATAAGCCCAGTACCAAAAATATGACACACTCTGTAGAGAACTGAAACTGTTCTTAGGCGTATCAAATGTCCTTCTATAATGGAGAGTTATCTGTCACACCACCAGCTTCCTTCAGCTCCTCACTCTGGATTCTTTATGAAAAGCCACCCTTCTTCCCCTGCAAAGGGTACTAGATGCACAGATCCTTCCTCCCTCACTTGGTGTAACATCCAACCTTAACAGCTAGCACTCAATCCTTCCCCTTCATATGCAAGTTCCTAAATTACTCAGATCAAACATAAGCAACAGAGCTAACACGTTCCAAAAAGCTGTTGAAAGATTGCGGTCTTTATTTTAATCAGCTGAGGCCAGAGGAGTCAACTCCAAACAACATGTAAATGCCTATACAGCAACCTGTTGCCTTCCCTGCAGGTAAACATGAGAACATTTCCACGTTCTTCCTACATGAGAAGCCACATCCAGTTTAATGAAAACACTCAGTGCAAGTAGGAGCTGGTTTTCCAAAGCATGAGACTTTCAAATGGCACAAACCCAGACGGCCAGCATTGTACGGCTTAACGCCTAAAGAAGGTGAATCCGTCTCTGGCATCTCTGTCTTACAGGAGTCGTTTTGCTCTTTGGGGCCTTTATCTATGATCAACCAGTTGGCTGATAATTGTATTTACTGCTCCGTTTTGCAAGTGTATCTATATCCTCTGTTATACTTTGTTCTGATGTATAAGACTCCATCATTCATTGCAGTTTTGGACCATGATTGTTTAAAACTTGGGCTCCATGTCTCTCTCTACTCAAACTAGTGTTGATCTTTTCTAGACTATCCCACACAAAGGAATGCTTAACCTGAGGCCTTTGGAAATCTTGTGAAGCACAGACAGGAATAAACACACACCTACCTAACGCAGAGCTTGGCAGCACTGTTCCCGTTTTGAAATACTTGAATATTGCCTGTCTTGCATTACACTTTATTTAAAACGATACAAAAACTGAACAGTCAAAAAATCCTGTCTCACAAGGACTAGCTAAACTTCGGGATGAATTATGTCAATGAATCTGACTAACAAGAGGTCAATATCACAGCAAAACTTTCTTGCGCAGGCAGTTAGAGGCTTCAACCCTTTGTCAAGGCAGTGCATCCTCTAGGCCAGGGCTGTCCAACTGGCAGCCTGCGAAGGGTTAATGTGTGGCCCCCAGGGTCTTACCTGGCCACTGCTCCCCCATCGCTCCAGTCTCCACAGCCTGCCCGGTACGGCCCACGTGGGGTGCAGCCCCCATGGACTCAGCTGGACAGCCCTGCTTTAGACAGACATGCTCTGCCCTCTTTTAAGAGACCCAAGTTTAACTCGAACAAAAAAGTGTTACAAATCAACGGGTTAAATGTTCCCAAGATTTCAAGGAGCACTTTGTTCTGCTCCCTCCCCTTCCTCCCCGAATGAGAAGAAGTGAAACAACCAGCGAAGAGGGACTGTTTTGTCCAAACTCCTGTTTCTTTATTCAAGCTGGCTGCGATGAAGGCATTGATTTTATCACAAACACCCAGTCACAAAGGAGCTTTCTGTACCACAAGGCTCCCCTCCCTCCTCTTTTTCAAGATACTGATGCACACTGCGAACAGCATCGCCCTGTTCTTCAGGTAGAAAAGCTGAATCCCTTAGACTCCACTGTAACCTTTTAGATGCATGCCCTGTGTAAAAAAAAAAGTTGGGCCTGTGCCTTCTACTCCGCCCTGCTTCTTTCTGATGGAAAAAGGCTTCCTGGAAGGATGACTAGTTTGTCTGTTCGCTTTGCTCCATCTGATTCCAGTCTACTAAAAAGACTAGGACAGCAGGAAAAAGAGGGATCCCAGGGACTGAAAGTTAAGAGTGCAAGAAAAGCCTTTTCACAGTCAGACAAGCTGTCTGTGCTGATTTTTAGCTGCAGGGCCTAATGTACATGTACGGGAAAGGATGTCTGCACTGAAGATTCAAGGCCCTTTCTGTCGAACACATTCCTGAGACCAACTCCCTCTCACAAAGGTCCTCAGCAAACTAGGGAAGGGCAGACACTCCTGATATTTGAGGCAGCAAGAGACAGACTTGTTTAGGAAGCATTTGGGGCCTTTTCATGTATTAATATGCACAGCAGGACACAAAGTGCAAGGCTCTGACCGCCTCTGAGCTGTCAAGGTCCTTGTGCAAGAGCACAGCTATGAAGCCCCAAGTCCAGATCACCCTCCCAACCAGGCACTCACTTTTGGCATATTCCTTCTGCAACTTCAACAGAAATGAGTTTCACTTCCTCTCCTGAAGGCTGATTAGCATTACTAGCATACAAGCTACCATGCCTTTGGCCAGCCAGGATGCACTTATGGGACAGTACACAGCCCATGAAGTGCAATGAACAGTCTTCTATACACAGACAGAGAAGACAAAATTTGGCTGACAGACGGGAACTGAGACCAGTCTGGACTCGTCTCTAATGGATTTCCTAAAGCTTACATGCAGGAAGCAATTTCATCTCCGTCCAATCCCCCCACCCCCTCTTGAGCTGGATCCACTCTTCCCCCGTCAGGCATGAATATACATCTTAGACATCTGCTCCTAACTTTTCTCCACCCAGGATCTGTCAGGTTGCCTCATCTCTTCCATTTTAGATGGGAGCCAACCTCACTGCCAACACTGCAGCACTTGCTGTTTTTCTGTCTAGCCGGTACGCCTGAAATCTCCACTGCTGGCAGCCTGAACGGTTCCAACATTCAGCAGCGAGTCACTTCCTCTTGCCATTACTGCGTCACTTGCCGATTCTTTGCTACCTCCCCACCTACCTGAATGCATATATATCCCTGCCCTGTGCCCTCAATCCTGCCCCTTGAACTTTGCTCACTTTTCCTGCTTCTTTCTTCCTCTCCTCCTCCACACGTCCCCTTTTGTTGCTCCCTTTGCCTATGAAACCTTCCCCCTTCCTGGAAGCCAAGTTGTCAAATGGCTCTTTAAAACGCACTACTTTGGCTTTACTTTCCATCTCCATTCAAACCTCAACCGTCTACTCTCCCAGTCCACCTGTAGTCTCTTCTTAAAAAGTATCAAAATGGCTCATTTGCCTGGGCAACTCATTTGCTTATTTTCAAATTCTATTTGTCCAATTAATTCACAATCCCTGCAAGCAGGGGTCATGTCTCACCATCCTGTGCGCTGTGTGCTAGCAGTTAATATTCTAACTCACCAGCGTGAGAAATACTGTAAGTTAGAGACATTTACAACACTGAAATTCTGCTTTGAAATGAGCCCATCTGGTTCTGATTACACGCACAAAAAGATTATCCTTCCTCCACTGTGCTGTCAAGCCATCTGAACAGCAAGTGGGTTTGTTTTGGTTTTTTTTGTTTTTTTGTTTTTACATATGCTGGACAACACGCTTTCCTTTTATGTTATAGGTAACAGGATCACAATCAGGTCTGGTCATTACCCTAATTTCAAGGCTGCTTGCGGGCAGTTTCTTGGTATAAAGATCCCCAACACAAAGTGTGCTACAATACAAAAATAACAAGTCTAACCATCAGCACTCCAACTGTCTGGATGGGAAAGAATAAGGAGTCTACCAAGTTTCTCCCTTACAAAACTACCCAGCGTTTTTCTGCAAGAGTCTGAACTGGCTTTTCTTAAAAAACAAACCTGTTCTGTAGGAAAATTCTTTGCATTTTAACTGCATTCCTGATTTATAGTTAGACCAAATACACTTAGCTAATTTAAAATATTTAAAGTCAGTGTCTTCTGACAATGACTAAGACACTGTGGTTCAAGATGTGCCTGGTAAAAAAAACACACTCATTTACTACAGTTTGATGACATAAGCACAATTAAAAGGAGAGTTAAAATCTTCACCAAGGTATTCACAAGTTCTCCATCACAACTACAGAAGGAGGCTGGGAAAAGCAGTTTTCATAAGGAAGCAAATTTTACATTTGAAAATAATGTTGGAAAAAAATCTGGAAAATAAAAATATTCTGAGCCATTCTAATGGCACTTTTAAGGGACTTAATTAACACCGGAGTAAGTTCATTCACTGGAATGCTAATTGTGGAGCTGTTAGTGCTTCATACCGGCAGAAACAGTCAATACACAAAACAAGCAACATTAGTGCTGTATGAATGAATGAAAACTAACAGGTGGCTACCCCAGTAGGTACTAAAAGCTACAAATCTTATTAGGAAAGATTTTGTTTGGGGTTTACATATCATTTTCAGAAGGCTCTGGGCGAGCTGGGTCCAGCTCACAGTTTAGACTCTTCCTTCTCGGTTTCAGTCTCTGTGAATAAATCTGATGTCATTAGGGTGCCATTTAAGTGAGTTAGATCCTTTATAACAATTTGTTAGCCATTAGCTGGAGATGCAATATAAAAGCTCTCTGTTTGGTCTTGCAACTTCTACTCTATTACAGTACAAGGCCAATTTTCATAGACAAATTCTGCAAAACAAAACTAACAGACATTAGCATACACACTGAATACACAAGCTTATGAGAAAAAATGGCAACCAAATTTCCTGTCCCCACCCGTGCAAAAAGATTCCACTGAAAGTTTTATTTTTTTTCCTAAAGACAACTAGATTCTATTCAATATTTATATGTATTGTTATATATTTGTATAAGGGCATACCTGATCTTCAAACAGAGAAGAATAACTATGGAAATCAATACTGCTTTTACAGCTATTTTCAGCATACAATAACACTGTACTTGTTATGGAAAAAATTACTGATTTTTGGGTATTCTGTAAATTTCCATGGCAAGTGATTAAAGAATAAATTTCCACAAAAGTTAGGTATTTAGAGATTTATCTTGACCCCTTTTATCTTTGGCTTATTAGAGTTTTATCATATAGAACAAACACCAGTATTTTATCTTCTGTCACCAACAACACATTTTAAGATTTTACCCGTTCACCCGTGGAATATGGAAGCAACTAAAACAAGATCCAGTTATCAGAGCCAAGTTACAAATAAGGTTTAACGAATTAAATTGAATAAGCAAAATTTCTACTGATATCCTTAGATAATCTAATATTAAAAATGCACAACTAAATTAAACTTACTGATTCGCCAAGTTTATCCAAGTTGTCCAGGAAATATTTTACAGATTCCCCCTGAAAAGCAAAGTGAACAGATTAGTGTTTTTTCCTCCAAAAGTGTCAGAATTGCTCATAATAGCCTACATCATGATATCCAGTTAACTCACTTTAACCAAACAAAACTGGGATAAAAGCCTTAGCCATCAGCACTTACAAATTCTGCACATATGGCAGCAAACCCATGAGAAGAAATTTAGCAGCCTGATATTCACAGAGGTTAAACATATAACCTTAAAAACATGGAGAAAAATGTATAATGGTTAACGTATTTTTAAAGTTTAGGACTTCCAGATGCATTGTACTGGTGCTATTCATTTGGGCCCTCAGTACAAGAACCACCCCAGAGTCAACCAGCTTCAGCACAAAATATTTTCAGTTAGTACTTCATCTGTTTCAGTAATCCATATAAAGAAAAAGTGTGTGGAGACACATGTCAACTGTGATAAACCCATGTGAAATGCACACTGAAGTCAGCACCCACAGTTCTGAGCTGAGCTCCACGCTGCACTCTGCATCATCTTGCTTCTGCCGAACAAGCTTGCAAAGCAATACTGCACCCGAAATTCAGAATGACCTCCAACATGTAGAAGCTGTGTACGACTTAGAGAAACTTGAAATTTTGCACGATCTCAAGTGACAGTGACACCTGTCACTGCAACTGAAGGAAGTGTGCTTTTGAGATTACCAATACTGTAATACAAGTGATGGAAGGTGACTTTCTTAACTACCAAGCAGCTCAAACATGGCTTGCTTAGTAGCAGAAACACCAAGTAGCACGTGTTTCTGCTTTTAAATCTTGGCTTCTACTCTATTAGTTGAGGTAAAGTTAACTAAAATTCTTCATCTAGAATGAAGGTTTTCCATTCCATAAAATAGCACAGATGAGGAAGGATTCCCTTACAAGTTACAGCAGTGAAAAAGGAGCAGAGCTGCACGTTGGCAATTAATTCCCTTCATGTGGCTATCTACCAAGTAACAGAGGAAGTCTTCTAGTCCATTCCAGAGAAGCAGTAACTTGTTCTCAGCATTGAGACATCCGATTAAGTAACCAAACCACCAAAAAGATTTCTGGTTAATTCCAAAGGCATATATACACATTTCTGCCACTCTCCCAATTACTAATTAGAAACCTAGTGACGCATACACCACACTCAGGTTTTAAACAAGAGCCTCTGATCAGGCAACATTCGGATGTTAGGGACACTGCATGCCCATGTACTTGAGGCACCTGCAAAGAGTCAGAAATAGGTAAAAAAGCTACCACATTGCAATCTACTTGCTTTAATGTTGCTTACTTTACTTAAACCGACAATCCACAGCAATGGAAACACTGAGTCAGTACCATTTTCAAGTTTGGAGGATGGCTGCTTGCTATGACTAAACCAGGGATAAACATTTCACACATGCACCTTCTGCTCTAGAAGCCCTTACTGCTTCATCAACTGCAACTTGAAGGCCACCCTTTGGAGGGAAGGAGCTGGCATTCCTCCTACACCGGAGGAAGCTGCAAAGATCTGCTCAGGGTTACACAGGAAGTTTGCAGCACAGCAAGGGTGGGGGGAGAAGCGTCCTGACTAGGCCTCCTCCTATTCCTACAGCCACTCTCTCCAACCAAGGCTAAAGCCAAGTGCACTCACAGTTCAGCTGCTAAATCTTTATTAGACTGCAAGAGGCACCATGTTAACTATAAGCAACTGTTCTTGATCATCTTGGTACCAGCCTCTGCAACGCTGCTTCTACTTTTAATGGCCCTGGGATCTGTGCCATTTAAAGCAATGGCAATGCCTTCATGAGGCCTTTGCTCTTCAGCTGGCTACTACGACTTCATGGCTACAGTAATGACTGAGCTGTTAACAACACCAAAGCAGACCACCGCCTGCAGGAGGTCAAAGCCACATTAGAAAAGCATCTTTCCAAGAGGGGATTTCCTGGCAACGTAAAAGCAAAATACATTAGCTCGCAGTAATGGAAGTACTAGAGTTTCACATATTTGACACAATGTACAAACCACTGATCAAAAGCTGCATTGAGACAGTGCCTTGGTTTCAGCTTGTTTGCTACTGTGTGCATTAGATATCAGATGGCCATTTAAAAAAAAAAATATCATAAACGGCTATGGATGAGGAATGTTATTATGACAAGCAAAATTTAGCTTGCACAGGGGTTACATTATTTATATTTTCTTCTCCCACATCCAAGTCTATTTGTTGGCAAACTACTTATTAAAATCCATTCAGGTCCTGCAGACATTCCTCTGCTTTGTTATCCCTCAGTATAAAAGCTGTTCAATCCTTGGGCCTTTACCATCTAATATCACCGTGGACCTGCAAGGCTTGAATCCACTATCGTCTCACCCTTGCCTTTTGGTTTTTCTTCCTTATCCTGGTCATGTTTGCACATTCACTTGTAAGTAAGCCTTGTCTGCTGTTACTTTCCACTCAACTTGGACCCTCTTCAAATTTTATTCTACTAAGTACTTAGTGACTACAGTGCAACTCTCAATTACTAAATTATCCTGGTAAATGAATCTAACAGCATGAAACTCAAAGGTAAGGGAGAGTTTCACCTGGGTGATAAATTCCCTTGACTTACTGTAAATATTTATAAAATGATCAAGGAAATCTGCTGGTCTCCTCCAGAGCTGTAGTAAACTTGTTCTCTGTAAGAATAACTGCAGTTACATTTAAGCACTGAATAAAACACTACACTGAACCAGGAAAGGCTGGTATTCAAACAATTACAGGGTAAAATGTAAATATATAGCTTTCATGACCGAAAGCATCTTCACTCCTACTAATTCAGTTAGAGAGTGCTTGGAATATACAGGTAAGATTGTGACATAGGTCCCGTCAGGCAGATTTGCAGAACAGTTTCAAAACTTCCCTCGACTACATAACCTTTGACTGGCTGCCAGACCTGTCATGGTAAGACAAAACCTACTGAAGCCAAAACTGCTTCTGTATTAGACCTAATTTCAAAGAGAATATATAGAATTAAGAATGACATACTTGATGACTTAAACTGTGCCATATCTGAGCACCCTGCATTACATATTTGTAACCAGGCTGCGTAAAGGGAGATGTGAAACATTTCTGTTTTGGGACTTCTTGGGATTTTTTGGTGTTTTGTTTTTTTTTTACAATACCCAAGACAGCTTAACCCCAAAAAAGCATTTACGTGCAACTGACAGTTTAAGGCTTCATTTTTCATGATTAAACTCCAAAGTATAACATGCAAACAGCAGACCGGAAGTCTTTAATAAAGATTTGAAGCCTTCACCTTTTCAATGCCAATGAAAGCTCACAATGTGCACCTAATGTCCTAAGCAGCAGCTTAACTTGGAACTGTGATCAAAATGTCTTATTACACGATTAAGACAGAGATGTGTTGTTAAACGGGAGACGATCTGGCTGCAAACAAATGGCAGGTAGAATCTTAGGCTTTGATCTGACTTATTTAACCATGACACTTCCAAGTTGCAAGCTCCTAAGACTGTGGTCTACATAAAAATCACTGCCGAGCTTAGTGACAAATATACTGCTTAAAATGTATAAGCTTAATAAAGCTCTTGAGCTTTATTTTCACTAAAATAAACTAGCACAGGGAGGTCTAGTTAAATATAAAAAAGTGATCTGTGAAGAGAAAAAAAGTGGAACTGAGAACAATTGCGTATGGGTCATAATTCACGTGCAGGACTATGTAATAAGCAGGCGTCAAGACACTGATACAGGGAGATGCATGGCTTTCCGGAGAATAAGTCTTCCGGTTTGTTAGCCCTTGCACTTTGATGTACAAGTGAAACAGGCCTTCTCTTGGACTGCTCATACAAGATTCTCACTTTTGTTCAGCTGTAGTCAAGGCTGTGTAGAGCTCAGCTACAGGCCCCTAGCCTTCCTCCGATTGAGAAATCTACGTAAACCACAGGAAGTTCGCTGTTAAATAACTTGATTCATAACTGTCAAGTATTCCATTTTCAGCAAAGATTGATTCAGCTGGCTGGTGTGCATTCTGTATCTTGTGATCCCTGCTGAAGAAAATCAAACCAAATTATTTTTGGTGCGATTACACAAATGATTCATACAACAAATTAAGAGGAAAACGGCTCACCTATATTCTTATCAAGACAAAGCTTTCCTTTCAATGATGCACTACATTTTAGGGGTGTAGGTTGTAGCCGTGTTGGTCTAAGGATATAGGCGGACCAAGTTATTTGGGAAAATCTGATATGTTTTATTAGACCAACTAAAATAGTTGAAAAAATTCTTCTTCACAAGCTTTTGGATACAAACACCCTTCTTCAGGCTGAAGAAGCATCTGCAGCTCATTTCTATCCGTGACAAATATGTCTAAATTAGTAAAAAAGAAGCTAGGCTGTGCATTTAACACAGCAGCACTGACAAATAAGCACTATAAAGTCCTCTTCGTGCAAGAGAGATTAGTGGGTTATAAAAACTCTTGCATGTGGTTTTCCAAAGTCCAACAACCTAGTTTTAGTTTCTAAGAATAGCTGCCTTAAATAGTAAGCAAGGTACCCAAGCCTCACACAACATGTACCATTAGCATTTTAAGCACTACAGATTTAAGGAAAAAAGACCAACCCAAATGCCCAACAAGTAAATGAATGAGTGAATGAATGAGTGACTGCTCCTTTTAAACCAAAGGCGGTAGCATCTATTTACTGATAAAGACACATGGTTAATCTGCATGCATACCAAATAATCAACACTAAAACACTGGCCAAATTGGCTTCGCAATTAAGTTTTAAAGGATTTCAACACAACATGCATCTCTAATGGTTTGTTAGGAATAGCATTTAATTAAGAATCTGAATGAAAGATTATTTAACACAACGTTTATATGGAGTTGAACAATTCCCTCCCACCCCCACCCCCATCTGTCTGACTGCAGATTCAATGGATCACCAACAAGTGGATAAAGTTACCCTGAACATCTGGGAAAGTAAATCTGAAGGTACCTACAAGATCTAGAAATCCTTGTCCTGACAAGAGGACAAC